AAGCATTGGAACAGGCTGCCCAGAGAGGTGGTGGAGTCCCCATCCCTGGAAGCGTTCAAAAAACGGGCAGACGTGGCACTTTGGGACATGGTTTAGTGGGCATGGGGGTGTTGGGTTGACGGTTGGACTGATGATCTTAAAGATTCTTTCCAATCTTAATGATTCCTAGTTTTTACTATCATTATAAGTGATCCAGCCACCAAGCCAGGAGGTGTGGGGTTGCTACTCTCCCCTTAACTGGTTTAGTGGTGGACTTGGTAATGTTAGGTTAATGGTTGGACTGGATGATCTTAAAGGTCTTTCCAACCTGAACGATTCTATGATTCTATGACTCAAAATACAGCATTTGCAGTCAGGTAGCTTTCCTCCTTGATCCTTGGTAAGCCCAATCACACCTATGCACCCGCCTACATCGTGTTGTCATCTCTGTGAGTGCATGTGGATATTAGCACAGTGCAGTTCAGACGGCTTTATTAGTTGAGAGACAACATTGCATGATAGCTCTGCAAATTGTCCTTAAAGTCTGTGGCACTTTTGGTTAAACCATATATATGTGTGTGTTTATACATATGTAGGTTGTTTATATGTGCACACATACATACATATATATAGTTTATGGTTCATGTAACGTTGACAGAGAAAAAGAGCAAAGCAAAACTGTTCATTAGAAGGCTATGTACTGCTTGGGGTATTTCTTAGCTGCACAAAACCTATTTTAAGAGCTAGTGGAAGGGGAATGATATCAGGCCTGAGCGCTGGGGTTTCCATTGAGCTATATCAGGAGTGCCTCAGGAGCCAAGCTTATGGAAAAAAGGAAAAGCGGGATAAGAGCACAGAGTTTTCTCTACTCTCACTGGTTTCTTTCAGTCTCAGACAGGTCAGCGCGCTCTTTTCTCACGGGGACCCAGCTTCAGGATGGGAAACAGTATGGAGCTGAAATGAATGCATTTTCCAGTAACTTGTTGCATACAGTTGTAGTTAGAAATTAGCAGAAGACATTTTGCTCCTTTCCTTTTAAACTGCTTGTTACCTCTGTGCAAGTGGTCTTGATTTTTATTTCCCAAACAAGATCAAAGAAAACCTATCGCCTTCCCTGCCTCCCTCCCTCCTCCCCATTAGTCAACATGTCCAAAAAATAGCAAAAGAAGGTACCTACAGGATTCAGAAGAATGGTGAGGAAGAGTTCACCTCCTCGGATACTTTTGTCCAGCTCCTGAGGACCCCCAGGATACTCCTTGTAAAAAATAGTATGAGTGAAAAGGCCACAGGTCTGTCGAGGGAGCACCTGAGAACAAAACAACAGCACTGTTGTGACATTAACTTCTTTCTGCAAACTTACGCTGGCACAGCCACCCGAATCCCTCCAGCAACTCAAAGAAACAAAACTGCAACCCTTTCCGCCTCTGTACTCTGGCATGTTTATTTATGGGCTCCTTTGTGCCTTCTGTACTCTCGTGGTAAGCAAGCGTGATCCTGCAGATGTGATTTCCAGATGCCAGCTCTGGAAAGCTGTGACACGCATGCGCTGAGCTTTCATGCAGAGACTGTTTTATTCGGCTCATACACTCATAATAAGTGTTTGTTTCCTGGCATTTGGAAGAGGAAGAAAACAAAAAGCCAGATCTCTCTTCCCTTAGCAAGGTTAGTTTATTAGCAGATAAATAGTGCTTCCTGGCCATCTTTGCTATCTCAGGCAATTAATCTTACTGTTCTTGAGACATTGAACTGAATCTGTATTCAAGGCTGCGGACCGCAAAAGACCTGTTGCTTTATACTTTCCTCAGTCCTGAAAACCGTACTGAACCCCTCACTCTTGTTTGTGAAATGGGTACGGGACTGGTGGGATGCTCACATGAGACCAGCTTGAGGTCAGCTCCCTGTCCTGCTATAAATCAAGAGGCTGCGTGTCAGAAACAAGCCAGCTGGCAGCTGTGGGAAAACAAACTCATCCTGGAGAACTAGGTGGTTTAGTTACATTATTAGGTAGGTACTATCAAAGGGCTCTGGTAAAGTAAAGACAACAACTGTCAGGGCTTGTGGGTATTGCCTAATCCATGCAGAGACATAATTCACCTGGGGAAGGCCTTTTGTTTCCCTCCAGTCAGCGGTTTTGCTTTTCTACTCAGTTAAAACAGCCAATGAAACCTACGTTTGGTGGAGCATTTTAATATGTGTGTAAAGGCACTGCTGAATTTGAGTCTGTTCCAGTGGTAATTGGACTCTGTGCAGTAACTTCTTGGTTTTGATGAAGATGTTTCTTTTGTCTTGTTTAGGGGATCACAATTTTGACTTTATATGCAAAGGCAATATTCAAGTCACCTGGGACTTTAAAGCATCCCAGGACCTGCCCTTGAAATATTTCTACTTTCACTTATGCTCATTCAGTTTTTGCGTTTCACCTATCTACAGCCTTGCAGCTGGCTGGTAAGACAGGCCAAATAATTTTATACATTTTCCTGCCCTTCATATGGTTGAAGTATGTATGTAAGGAACCTTCTCTCTCCCCGTGCAAATGCATGATCCGGAAGAGTCGGGCGTGTGTCCAGTCCCTGGCTCTGGGAGTTTCAGAAGCAAAGCTGGGAACGAAACCTCAGCCTCAGAGAAGTGTCACACTTGCTGGAGGAGATTACTTACACCTGCGCACCTTCCCAGGTGGTGGATTTCTAATCCTTTCATGCATAAAGATGAACCAGAGCTTGAAACATAGGTCTTAGGCAGTTTAATGAATTTCAAAGTATGCATTTATAACTCAGTTGATAGTTGATGGGACTACAAGTACATTTAGTTTCTGAGGATTACATCTGCAGTTTGCCTGAGTTTGTGTGACTTTTTTTTTTTTAAGCTGGCTGCATAACAAACGCACTATTTTGGCATCCTTACAAATCCTCGGTCACAGAGAATTTTAATGATTGCTGTAAAACTTGAAGCATTTGGTAAAAATAGCATACTTTTGAGTCACTTAAAGTACTATTGCTATGAAGCATGGAAATGCAGTGTACCATGATGCCATTGTGGATGAAGCCCCGTCTGTACCGTGCAGGCTTCAGGTGTGGGTATTCTTCTGTGCTGGTCACTTGGATGTGCCAGACCTTCTTCCAGGCCTCGTACAGCTGGATGTGAACCGGGTAGACCCCGGAGTGGTGCGGAGCCACCGCGTATCCCATGCCAGTCGGTATGCCATGCTCCTGCGACACAGCAGAGGGAGGAATATATTTAGGAACAGAAAAAGAACATGTAATTATTCAAGGCTTATTTTTCCTGCAGACGGCAGCACTGAAGAAGCTGTTGTCCTTGGACAGACTTGTATCTATTTGTATGTAGCACAAGCTAAAAATGGGAGGGAGATGAGGGGAACTGGAGTTACAATTTGATAACTGCAGACTGATAAATAATCCTCTTGGATTATGTTGCGTTACTGTTATGTGGAATAGATTTGCCTGCCTGTTCATTACATATTGTGTCTATTTTAATATGCATCCTACCTGTTTGGTTCTTTTTAAAGGTAATCCGGTAAGCTGATGCTGCTTGTTTACTAAGCTATCAAACAGCATTAGAGCAGCAAACAGATGGAAAAAAGTTGTTGCAGTGACATATGTGGGATTTTTTGTTTCTTATTTCTAGAATAGGAGCAAGATTCCTTCCTGATTTAAAAAAAAAAAATTATATATCCCCCATAGCTTCTGTATCTGCTTATGGTTTTTCCATGGTATTAAGGTAGTAGCAAAAAAGCTGGACTTTGACAGACATCTTTTTTTCATAAATATTTATTTAGCTCCATTTCTATGAGGAAATAAGTACATTTTCATGAATACAGTCTATAGGTTATCTTGAAAATATCTGCCGATGGCACAATGAGGTAGTTCATGTGCAGGCAGAAGGAACTAAGGAAGACGCTTCACTGTGAGCGTGCTGGGCATGTTCCCTTCGCTCCTGATGCTCTCCTGCCTTTGTTGTGCTCCTCATCCCTCCTGCTCCTGACTTAACGTGGGCTGTTTGGAAACCCCATCTGATGATGAGGCCTGATAACCACATCTATAGACCAGGATGTATTTAAAAGAGCAAATGATTTGAAGTGTAAGCTATACACGTGAAAATGAGGTAATTAGTTTCATTGGTCTGCGTGACTATTCCAAAACTCATCCAGCGTTTATCATCAGCTACTGGCGGAAAGAAAGGCTGTGCTCTGCCTCTTCTCCTGCTGAGGCTCGTTTCCAGCAGGTCCAGTAAAAGCCCTTTTCAACTCTCGCAAGGCATCTCCAGGTTGCAGGGTGTCCTGGCGCTGTGGCTCTCGCTGGACCCCTTCCTGTGCTCAGGGTGTTTGCTGAATTCATTTTACTCCCGGTACTACAGGATACACCAGCTGTTTTCTGTTCATATAAAACTGATGTTCAGAGGGAAATGGCTAAAATGTGAAATGATTTGGGTGTTGGGTTTTTTTTTGTCCTCCTTCTTGCCCACATTATCCAAGAACTGTTGATTACTTTAATTCCAGGAATAGCAGATTCTGCTGGGCATCTTCAAGTAGTTTGCAAAGGAAGTCTTTTGGTTCATTGACAAAAATTAAGTTAAATCTGTGGGGAATGCTTGGTCATACATCACATAATGCAACCACTTAAAATTATCCATTCCTTGTTAGTAAAGATCTTAGGTTACTGACTGATCTTGGAAAAAAAGAAACCCAGACTCACTACTTTGTAATTTACTGAGAGCAAAAATGTAATTTCTGCTTATTAATGTTGTTACCTACCTGAAAGGCATGAGTCAGTTTAAGGGTGAAATGAGGAATAGCTCTATAATGAGAAGTGTTAAATCGCTCTTTTCTCTATTTTTTTGCCATGAACATGTATAAGGGAAAAAGCTATATCTGAAGGTTTCTGAAAAATCTGGTCATTTATTACTATGCCCGAGTAGTCTATGATGCTCACGCTGTCAAATATACTGTGTTAACTTAAATATACTGTATTAACTTGAATCTACAAACCTTCACCAAACCTGTGTTAGGGAGTATACAGACACGTAAATGTACGGCAAATGTGTCCTGAGCTAGATAATGAAGACTGCTCTGAAGGATATGTTCAAAAGTAGGTATGTGGATGAATACATGCAAAATCCTGTTTATCTACTTACTATTTGCTGCTGGTATTGCTATAGCAACAGAATGGTGAAATGGTAATCTGCCACTCACAAATAAAATAAGGCAGCTTTTCATAAGTTCTCAATATAAAAAGCTAATTAGCCTCTGAGTAAAACCTGCACACTCCACAGTTCATCACACAAACACATGGCAGTCACTCAGGTACCCAATATGACTTCAAGAAGAAAAAACTAACAAATAATCAGATTTTCTTTGGTCAGTTCCATGTTCAGTTTACTTGCGTAAATTAAATAATGTATGTCCTCTTTTAGGGATTTCTGTTGCTCTGTTTCCTTTTTTCCTCTCACTTTGTTATTAAATTTAGTTTGGGATTGGGAACTAATGTGTTAAAAGAGGAGTATATGTTTGAATCTAAGCTATTTGGCAAAATGTGAGATGCCTGTAGTGAGTATATTATATATTCTCAGGAACAGTTTCCTGTAAGATTTTATTGGGTTATTTTTACATTCAAGACTTCCATTGTTTTTTTTTTTTTTCTTTTCAAAATTTGTTCAAAAACTTTGTGCATGTGTTTGCCTAGTTTGGAAAACTTCTGGCCTGTTTTGGCACTGAGAACAGCAGCATTGCATTCCTTTGCATGCTTAAGTTGGGACCTCAGGGCCATTAATTTTGGACAGGTTAAATTTGTATTCCTATTTTACTTGTGCGTTAAGAGACTTTAAATGCTAATTTAAATGATGGTGTAAGCTGAAGCTGCAGCAGTGGTAGAGTTCAGTATTAAAGGAGAATCACTGCTATAACCTGTGAGATGGAGGAAGATGATTAAAGCAGATGTTGCATTTTTGGGCAGAAAATTGCCTGAGTTGTCGCTACTTCCCATGCATTGGTTTGCATCATGGAGCGGTCTGGAAGCACGTGACCGACCTTGTTTTAAGGGCTAGACCAGACTAGAGGATGCTGTCCAGGAGCACACCTCATGTCCTCCCGGCCCCACTGAGCATGTGGTATGTGGATCAGGCTACTACCAGCTCGAAATAACCCTCCCTCTGATGCCTGCGTGTGGCCAGCACATCTGGCCAGCGGCAGCAGCTTCCCGTGGCACAGCCCAGGGAGTCACTGTCTCATGTTCGTGCTGATGTGTCCAAGCCAGAGCAGTGGGAATTGGAAACTCATAGTCCTGCCGATGCAGCCTGGCTCGTCTGCGCACCCTCCAAAGCTGCCTTGCCCAGAGCCCATGCGTAGGACAGGTACTTTTACGGGTGATCTGAAAGGCTGAGGCAATCTGCCAGGGCTGCTTATCTCTCTCAATTATCAGCTTCGTTCAAGCAAGCAAAGATTTGCTTGAAGCTCCTAACCTCTTTTGACCTTCCTATTTGTACAGAAATGAGCTGTGTTTGCCATTAGTCAGCATGTGCTGTGTGTACTTATTCTGCATTTGCAAAAAAACCCTTCTGCTAAAGAAAGGGCAGGTGATGCAGAATGAGCACGGCTCTCCAGAAGGAGGTATATTCTCAACAAGTAAGTTTGCATTCCTATAACAGCTCTTCTGTGAGCAGATGTTGGAAATTTGAATAAAACCCAGCATCTGGAAGACTGACTATTTATATTAGCAGGGTCTTGTCTGACAGAACCCCCCCCCCCAGTTTTTAATTGCCCCAAACATTACATGTCCTTGTTAAAATGCAGTAAGAAATAAACTGAAACAAAACCTAAAACTGTTATAACACAGCTGGCATTGTGGTTCTTAAAGATCACTGGTGATTTGTTTTACAGAAACATCTAGTATTGTCTGTTGTCAGAGAAAGAATAAAAAAGCAACCTTTTAATTTTTTAAATCTTATGTCTACTGTAGATCTTTTCACACAGTCAGTTGAACCGCAGCATTCCCTTTGGTGTAAAGACTCGTATTAGATGAAAAAGTTAATAGTACAACCTCAGAGGTCTGCTAAACTATTTGACTTTGTGCAACAGTAGGTGATAGAGTAAACGTAGTACTTTTTCAGATGTTACCTTCCAAAGTTAAAAGATTTACATAAGCTTTGCGTATTTTTAGTACTGGGATATATTTCTAATATTGCTGCACATGGGTGAGATTTCCTGTAAGAGATTGTATGTTACTATGTCAGTTTAAAATACTTAGTAGTGTTTCTCTTATTTGGTAAATGAATTTGCTGCTTTCTTGTTTGTCACCACTCACAAAAATGGTGTGTTGTATTTTATCCTTTATGGACATGTGGTTTTTTTGTTCCTAAGGTTTACGTTTCTGGGTAACTTTTACTTAATAGATATTTCAGCTTTCAGTTACTTTTAGTTCAATTCTAAACTGTAAAAATCTGCATAAAAGCTTAAACAAGACAGTTCAGCAAATGAGAGGTGATTGTTATTGAGATATAGGGGCTCTGTGTGTTGGTATTTGCTTTCACCGTTGCTTTTTCATCTGTGTGGTGTGCTTCCCTGCCATGTGGCTCTACAATTCGCCAAGCAGAGAGTCCAAGGGGTCTTAACAAAGTGGGTTTTCTGGTGTTGGTGTCAGATCCGGGGTTGACAGGGACATGGGAAAAGCCAGCTTTTCACCAGTCTTACCTAGGAGTCTCCCAGATATCACTACGACTCCTGTTTGAGGCATGCTTTGTACCGTAGCAGATTACCGAGAGGCAGAGAAGATTTTGGGATTTAAGATCTTGGGTTTCTGAGGATGTGAAATGCAGAAAGGCAGTCCAGCACTGAGGCAGCTATGCGTGACTAGGAAACACATAGGCTCTGCATGCGTGTGGTACCAAATAAAGCTGAGATGGCAGAGGCAGTCTTAGCAATGTGCTGTGAAAGCACGCTCCCGATACGGACAAAAGCACTAATGAAGATGGGCTATTATGGAAGGACCTTAAGGTTAGGCAGAATAAATCTCATCCTGTCTGCACAGGACAATGTTATCCTATATATGCAAGCCATTTACAGAACACTTTTAGAGGCAATCTCTAGTGGGCATCTCTCCTTCCCAACATTAACTACAGATATTAATAATGAGATGAATTAGACTCTCTTTTCATCACATGTAGATACTTTGCCTTTGATGTGTGGTCACTGGTCTTCATATTCTTGGTATTTAATTGGTATATTAAAAGCTCATGGTTTCTTTGTGGTTTGGGCAGCTCAAAAGTTTTAGGCAGAGGAAGTGCTAATGTGCATCTGTAGTTGGTTTATAAACCAGAGATTGTAGTGTTACTAGACAGGCGCTGAACTGATTTGCTTGTTTTGTATATGTGTATCTCTGAATCGATTTGTTTGTTCTGTATATGTGTGTCTCACATCTTCATATCAGATCCCAGCTACCTTTTTACCATCAATGATAGTTTTTGCCCTCTCTCTACTGTGCTCTGGGCACATGTGCTCACAAATGAGCACAGAAGATAATGGCTGAACAAACAAACAGAGGGACAAAATAAAGAGCTACAGGCTTTAGATTAAAGATATTCTATTTGTTTTTGTCAGATAAGGATGTACAAAAGGGGGGAGGAAGGATATCTTGTGATTAAAGGATGGCAGTGAAAACTTGGTTCGTTTTATTTTTGGAATATGTATTATCAGAGACTTCTGCTTGCACAATTTCTTTACCTCTTCGTGAATCAATTGCATTGCCTATAAACAAGGAGAATAATACTTGAGATATTATCAGTTTGGGAAATTTCATCCAACGCTTAATTCATTAGTGTCCTTAAAGGATAAATAAGACAACATTAGGATAGCAAAGTTCTGGGTAGTCTGCAACTTCCTTTACCACAGTTAAAATCTCTGGCTTTGTTCCTCCTAGGCTGGAGGGTATCGTGAGTGCTTGAGAAGAGATTTGGCAGCGAGGGCTGTGGGAAGGGTGCTATAGGTGGGGGCAGCTGTGGGGCCCATCGCTCAGGCATGAGCGGACAAGGATTTTGCCAGACAGGATTTCCCACGCTGCCTGCCGGATCCAGAGCAGCGGGGCAATAACATTTATGAAAGATGCATGAAAGTCTCTTCCTCTCACCAACTAGGTGTGAAACGGTAGAAATTATAAATATCTCAGTGAAACATAAAGGTAATAATTTGGAGGGCTCTAGTTAAAGGCAGTCTCCTGGTTCACAAGCAATTTGCATGTAGGGGAATCCTTTAAAGACTGTTGATTTTACTAAGCCCCAGATACACAGAGGTATACATATCTGCACTGAAATCAAGGCAATTAGATACCTAATTAGCAATTAGTTGTATGTGTACAAAAACTGTTTAGATACCTGATTTTCTACGTGTATTTTGTGCTACAGCTGTTTGAGGCAGGCTGCAAGTGTAAACCCCCATTTTATAGAGCATCATTATGAGGTACAGATATACCTGTGTAGAACGGAACAAGGTCTTTTATCTAGTTGCCAGCGCTAACACCTGTATTTCTTGCCTGTGTTCAGCAGACTGTATGTGTACTTGAGCTCCTGCAAACCAGAGATTATGCATACAGTGTAAGTACAAGAGCCAATAAAAATTATGCTCGTGTACATTTATAGCTCCATGCGATAATACCCATGAAATACTGTTTCAGGCACACCGGCTTGTGTTTATTAAGCTTGTCTTTAATCCACAGTCCTCAAGAGAAGGACATTCCTTTCATGAAACCTTTTCCCCCAGTGAACAATGTCAATCCCAAGCCCGATACTCTCGTGTGGAGAAACTGCTGATTGCGATGGGATTTGGGTGCACGTTTCCGGACAGTGTGATCTTTTAGCTTTCTTCTAAAATGGTAATGTCAGGAGGAGCCAACAGGTCTTAATGAACAGAATTTTTGTTGTGCTATTTGGGATCTTAAAGCAACCTTGACATTATACCTTTTCAGGTATAATGATGTGTTCTCCCATTCTGAAGACCCTGTTACCTTCTTACCCATGTTTAAAAAAAAAAAAAAAAAAGAAGAATGAAGGAATACCACATTAGGTGAAGACTGAATGTGGTCATACTTCCAAATAATTATTGCGGCTTTCCTTGCAGAAACTGACACAGTGTCATCTCTACCTGCAGCTAAAACAGGAGGTGGGGAGATACGGTGGATAAATGGGAAATTCAAGAGAAAATGGCATCAGCATCAAGCTGTGTTCCCCTGAGGATGCTACTAAGTAAAGATGCTAGAGCACAAATAAAACATGTATAACATCAAGCAGATTTTCTGTGTCTTGTTCTAGAGTTCTAATTTAAATTTGGATCCACGCTGTGAAGTCAAAGAATAATGAAAAGGGGTTTGCTTTAACTTTGGAGGACTTGCAGAAGTGCAGCTGTAGAACAGGGAGTTCCTTTCCCAAGTAAGATACGATGCTGAGGATGAGAAAGCAGGGGAGGATACAAAACTACTCTGAAGTCATGGCTGGGACCTCTCTGATAGCTATCAGGAAGGTTGTCATATCAGGAAGATAAATTTCTCCCACAGAGAGGATTTCACAGGAAGCCTTTTGAAAAGAAATGTTCTCATAAGTAAATTGTACAGCTCATATAGATTCAAGGTTAAGAGGTTGGTACAACCCCTGTCCAAATGTTAGCAGGAAATAAAACTGTAATAACAGCAGCCTTTCACTGACATCAGCTCCTTATTTATAGGCACCCTAAGGAGTCTCTACCCTTCAGTGATGAGAGGGACATGGGCTTTATCTTTCTGTAGCTGAAGTTGCAAACAGGTTCTATTACAAGCCCTGTTTTCAGGCTGTGCTATAGATTTTACTCCAAAGGTGGTTTGACCTAGAGGATTTCATGTTTCCTGAAAATACTAGGAGAATTTCCCCATAGGTTTAAAGATGAACAGACCACATTTTTGAGACACAGGTTATTTAAAAAATTACTCCTGCATTTTAAATCTCAACTATGTTTGGGTCTCTGGGCCAGCCTACACAGAAGGCATGAACAGGCCATGGCAGGAGCGAAGGCTGACGGTAAAGCAGAACTGTGGAAAGGAAGAGAAGTCATCCAAAATGCCTCTGTACTAACACCCTGCCAAGCAGGACATGGCAAGGGGGGAAGTCTGGCAAGAAGAGTAAACAGTTAAGCCATTTTTAATGAATTTTCTTTAAAAGTTGTCAGGAAAGTATTTTTGTAAACAAGGGAATAACTGGCTTCCAACTGCTCGTTCAGGCACCTGCCTCTGCCGGTTTCCTGATGTGCCTTGGCTGATGTGAGGGATGGGAGGAAGGGGCAGCTGCTGCCTGGCCTTTCGGAGCTCCGATGGGCTGAGACTTGTGTTCCCTGAGCAGCAGAGAAAGCCCTGCTCTGTCACTCTGCTCTTTTGAGTGGGTCTGGTTGCTTGGCATTTCAACACCTTGTCAAAGGCCACACAGTGTCTTTTCCAAAGCCAGCATTTATAGATTTCAGGTTTTCTTTGTCATGCTCAATAAGCAAGTAGAATTACCCTGAAATGACCCTAAATGGTTTCCACCTGACCTCAGAGTACAAGTACTCTGAGCTCTGGGCAAGGCTAGGAGAATAGCTCTTGTAGGTTAACAACACAAATGAGCAAAAATGAAACAGTATCTGTAAATACTAGCAATAGGTTAGCTATGTAAAAAGCATATTTTCAAGCAGGTCATCTAAAAAAAGCACAGTGAAATCCAGCAGCTTCACTTATTTGTTTCTTTAGCTTCAAGATTTCTCACAAACCAAACACAACATTTAGGGTTCACTCCCTCCCCTATTGAGGATGTTTGCACCAGACTTCAGGAAGCTGATAACCTGAGTGTAAAGCGCTTCCTAAAGCTTAAAAGGCCAGCTGATATCGGCTGAGATTTCACTGCTTCTGATCCCTATGGTCTCACAAGGTTGGTTGCTTGGGTACAGGGCTGCTACCTCTCCAGAAAGCCATGAAAAAGGCCAAGACAGAATTCAGCCCAAGTCTGAGTCACAGAAAGCCTTTTTTGGGGTTGAGTTTCCAATCTTGCTGCCTTATTTGCATATCTATGTAAATATATATACGTACAATATAGATAAACGTAAAAATATCTTGGAAAGCATAGCTGTAATATGTAAAGGTATCCTAGCGAACCTTTTGGTAACTTTTACTCACTATTGCAAATTCTTTGTTGAGGATCATCTGCTCCACCAGTGACGACTCATTGTGGAAGAGGTGAGGCTGCATGTGACTCCACATGTGGGGAAACCACCAAAACTCATCCACAGATCTCAACAGCAGGTCATCGCCTTCATCTTCCTCTTCAGTCCCTGCAAAAGACAGACGGGGGAAAAAAAAGGTAATAGAAAAGCAACAGCAGAAAATGCCCGTAATTGTTCTTTAAACACAGAAGAGGCTGCCATAAAACCTAATGTCATTGGCCTGGATGTCTCGCTGCGCTGCAGACAGGCTCTACCATATCACAAGGAGTGAGGTGAGTTACCACGGATGGTATCTACCCTTTCCTGTTCCTGGCATGGTGTTAACTGACAGTAATTCCACCAAGAATTAGTTTTCAAGGGCTGTTGATGCAATGCACTAGGAGTATTTTGAAGTTCAGACTCCCTGTGAAGGTGGAGATTGGATGGACTTGTACCCACCTGCTTTGGTCCTGCCGGACACTGCACAGTTGTCGCTGGCCAAGGTGGCATCACAGAGAACTGCATGCCAGAGCCTTGCCACCCGTCCCCCCCCGACTCGTAGCTACCTCATTATTAGCCTCGGTAAATCCGATAACCGCTGGTAAAGCGTGAAACAAGTTTGCAATAGTTTCAAAATATAATTAGGTGGAAAACATGAAGCTGTAATGGCAAACGGGTTCCAAACGTTGTTTCCTATGGCTCAGTATTCAATTTTTGCTAGGTTTAATCTTGATGTAAAAACAATAAAAACTCCTGTGTTAGTGAAGAGTATCTGCTTCAGGCAGAAGCCAGCATGTGTGGTTATAACAAAGAAAACCTTCCATTTGAGAAATGATACAGTGCTGCTTCCACCGTCTGCAGACATATGTCTGCAGTGCTTTTTCAAATTGGAAAGGCAAAGTTAGATTTCATAACTTCAGCCTCAAATTACTCAACAATATTCAGTTTATTAGCAGCCTTCCTTCTTGTTCCTTTATCATTTAAATGCTTTTATTTAGCTTCAATCAAAGAAATAATTGTCAAAATCAGCCTACGGATTCAAACATAGATATCTTTTCTTCTTACAAGCCTTTCAATGTTTGCAAAACTCATTGGAAGAAAATGCTCCATGGATGTCAGTGTTTACTTTTGTGGCATGAGGCAGGAACATAGAGAGATGGCTGTTTGGTGCATGCACTTCAGCTCTTTGTTTTTATTTTTGACTTCTGCAGTGGTTTTTTTGAAGAATGCTACTACAAAAGGAGAGCATTCCTTTGAAACTTTCTCCTGGTGTCGCTGAATCACTCTATTCCCCTCTTTGCAGCACTCTGCAGGTTCTAAGAAAGTTGCTCCTGCTGATGGGAGTGCTGCTGGAAAAAGAAAACAACCTTGTTTTCTTGTTTTCCTTATTGAAAAGAGAGGACCGATGGCTGCTCCTTCTGTGAATGTCTGCTCCTTTGTGCAAAACTTCTGTATCCTGCATCTGTTGAATTGACTGCTCTCTTGTTTTTTCGGGGTGTGTGGTCCACTTGCAGTCACCCAGGCCCATGCAAGGGAAATGTGATTGGGGGAAGAAACTTAACATAGGCTTTCAAAATAGGAGAGAAGAGAAGGGGATAGGAGTTTGTGAAGCCATTGAAGGTCTCTTTAGTAACCCAAAGGTGGGAAACTGAAGGTAGGGATGAAGAGGGAAAAAGTGGATATTTGAAATATATAAAGAACTACAATCATTCGACATAAGATTTAGGTCAAAGTATAATTTAGTGCCTTATTAACATTTGAAGTAGAGCATGGCTTTTGAAATGATCTAATTATAAAAAACCTATATTTTAAAGGCCTATTTTTTCCTACTAATTTCTTTGAAAATTTAGATACAACTAATCAAACTTTGTACTTTTTTTACCATAACAAAAATCAAACCAGGTAAAGCATAACACTTCACAGTTCAAACAAAAACAACCCCACCCTGTAATGGCAGAGCTGAAACAAAAAGTTTGGAAGTTTAACATTTGGTGGCGCTGTCATAGCTTTTGAGGATTGTTTTCTTTACAAGCCTTTAAAAAGAGTGTTGTTTGATTTTGTAAGTTCATAAGTAGCATTATTTACAAAAAATTTCATGCAGAGGTTTAATGGAGCATTTGTTGAGTGCTTCTACTGTTTAAATATTTTTGCCCAATCCCTTATTCAGAGTATTGGAGGCAAAACAAGCAATTTTGAGGTTTTAATTTCTTGTACAATCAACATTCTTTATGTAACTTTCTGTCTTCATTTTAATGTGAAATCTGAAAAATGCAGTAGAGCTACAATCAAGGAAGTGAACATATATCTGCTTTGAGTGCAGTATGCACTTTACACAGGTAGGTAATAATTCAAAATGTGTTTGCGCATAATAAATAATCCCATATTTTAAAACTACAACCATAACTTAGAGGTCTCTTGAGCTCAATGCTGAAACTAAGTTTGAAGTTGCTATCAATAACCTTATAAATCTTAAATGCAAATCCTGAGAACATCTTAATTTCTGTTGCCACTGCATGAACAAGTAGAAAGTGTTTGTTAAACTGCATAACTTAATAGGGTCTACTACTCAGTTTTTTGCTAATAGCGTTACGTCTACAGCGCATAGTTTACCAGTGCCACGGAAGGCAATGGTGGTGGTGAGACGATGAGCAGCGAGGCTGATGTGTCAGCTATTGTCGTTGTGCGCAGGCATCCCAATTAGAATTGGTATTTGTAGCACAGATGTCAACAACACCTTTTGATGAAAATGTATAACTGTTTAACCTGCCAACACATTCCCACACTCATCTCCCTCCTGTAGTTTTAAAAGGATCCAAGTTTTGGAAAGGAGAGCAAAATCACACATTAAGGAAGTCAATAAGGCGCAGCAGTTGCAGTATGCTAATAAACCATGTTGAATATCTGATACTAAAAGCCTCTCTGGGTAAACAAGCCATTTACAGTAATTAAAGAATACCTTTCCATGTTTTATTTATAATGAGTCAATAAAGTGTATATTGCATGGAGAATACTTTGAAACCTTTCCACTAAGCTGATATGACAAAACGCCACCACCAACCTGTAAATGAAGTGTTCAGTTAAAAACTCAGATGCATCGCTGAGTGCAAGCAGCAGCACGTCCCTTAATGGAGGCAATGACATGCTTCAACTCATTAAGTAGTTCTGTGCTATTTTTGTAAGCCTTGAGAGCCTTAGGAGGACAGGCACACATACACATTCTCCTATTTTCTCTCTCTATAGCAGTAGCAAATCTGAAATTGGTCAGCATTACATCAGCTGGGCAAGAAAACCTGTGGCAACAATATGGAGGCAGTTGGGATGAACAAAGAAAAGATGTATTGGCAGGTCAGGGGTTTGATTTTGTAGAAAGGAAAGGCTACGTGTTTTGTGCCAGCCGCTGTTCAGTATGTCATAGTATTTATAATAAATTATCTCTTTCTCCACCTCCCCTCCTTGAATTACCCTTCTCTGCAGTGGACACTGTCATGACTGATACCAGCTTTACTCTGTAGATGGCCACAACCGAGCATCATCCTACTTTAGAGTGGCTCAGAGCCTTGGGCTATTTTTGTTTATTTTGCTGTATTATGTGTGTGTCCAATTAATCTCCAGAAGGAATAACTACACAGGCAGGTCAAGATGAAGTGAGGGGAATAGTGAAGTTCTGTCTCCGAAGTTGCTCTCTAATCACAGGTCTGCCACTGGCTTGTTATATGACTCCAGGCAAGTAATTCCATCTCTCTCTACCTCTCATTTTTCTCAGGCTCTCCAGCCTGTATCGTTAGTCTGTAAGGTTTCCTGGCAGCAGTTGCTTAGCATTATGTGCTTGCACAAGGGGGAAAACAGCCTGGACTTTGAAAGCAACAGTGATACAAATACATAATTTTGGTTTCCTTCTCTCTACTCATCCCTCATGCTTCCTCATCTCCCCTTCTCTGAGGGACCTCTGTACTCTCCTAACAGGTGGTGAAATGGAGACATAAGAGCTGGGTAAGCTCATCTGTTTGGTGTTCAAATACTGGCAAGGAAAAGGGGAGTACTGCTACGCCTATGCTGAGAGGGGTGGCCTGCCTTACTCTACAGCTACCTCATGGCCCATGAGAGCTGGGACTGCATCGTTCCTAGCTTTTAAACTTACCCTCCCACCCTCTTGCTGCTCTAATGCTTCCTTCTCTGCTCCAGATCAGCTTCTCAGCTTCCCTAGCATCACTCAGTGAGTGCCACTAAATGTGGCTGAATGGGTTGACAGCTGAGGATTTTGGAGCTGGTCTTCAAAGGTGGGAAGGGTATGGGGTTTGGAAAGGAGGACAGGAGGTGTCTCCTTTGAAGTGAGTTGCTGGGTATGGTTTTTTTGCCTTAGCAGTACTAGGGAGCAGCATGGCTCGGTGGCAGCAGAGGGAAGTCTGAGTGGAGGTACAGCAAAGTGTTAAGGCAAAGGAAGAGGGGAAAGAAAATTTTTTTTAAAAAAAGGCATTATGCTGTGGAGAAATGGAGCAAAAGAGAGAAAGGAGTCGTGAGGAGGAGGAGGAGGAGATGTAAAAGCGCCTAATATTCCACAGAAACACAGTGCGAGTGTGCAACTAGTTACTGCATTGAGTATGAAAGGAGCAGGGTTTCAATACAAATTTCTTTTCATCTTGTTTTCTTTTATCATCCCTCCTGATTTGCAGACGACTGAGACAGATTACCTTTACAGTCCTAACAAAATCTTGTGCATCCCATTCAAACACTTCTGCCCCTTCAGAAGTTATAAGACGTGATTTTTCCAATCTTTTATATTTCATACCAGTCATACCAGAAAAACCTTAGTATGTCTTCTGTGCTGTCCTGTCTTTTGTGGAATCATAGAGATCTTAGCAGCTACTTTGCCTCCTTTTATAACTCTAAGATTTACTACCACACGTCTTTCAGAAAAGCACCAAGGGCATCTACGTGTTCCTGAGAAGCTCATCTGTAGGATACCTTTGCCCCTTTGGATACCGAATTAGACACTGGATGCTAAAATAGTGGAGCATGTATTTCCCACTGCTCCACTGAGTCAACATGTTATTTAAAAAGGGCGTGTTTAAAGCTAGGTTTAAAATCCTTTTGCCTATTTAATTGCAGCTACCTGAGAGCATGAAGTTCCTTCTTACCTGTGTGGTAAAATTTTCCTGAAAATCCAAGGTTGAAGGTAAAATTTGCAACCTGAGTGCGCAGTAAATTTTGAGTCTCTAGTAAAGCCTGAAATAAATAAGAAATTAACACGCATTTAGAAAAATTAATATTAATTTTTGGAATGCCTCATTTTAAATGTTGTGTCCAACTGAGGAGATACAAAAAATAAGAACCTGTTAAATGTTTCACATTTTATTTCGGGCTCATTTTTTTTTATAAGACTATTACAGTGAGTTTAATTTGTTCCATCAGAGCTTGATGGTTAGCAATGCTAGTAATAGTACCTAAGTACCAAAGTAGATGATGGTTCTGTAACTTGGGCCAAGATACTATACATTGTTAGCAGTGATCTGTGGCAGGACTTGAATCCAGCCGTTCAGAGGTAGCAATATACTAAAACACTAAGTCGCCCATGCTTTGGGTTATTAATGAAGCTTGATAAAATGTGCTTAAGACCCAAAGTAAAATTAGGAATGCTACTTGCCATCCAGATGTGGAGGCATTGGGATTTTACTTACCTGCAGAAACATTTCTGATTGAATACCAAATTCAGGCTTAAGTGTGAATGAGAAAAACTCCAATTTTGACCTATGGTAGAAGTAGTGTCCATGTCAGAAATCAAATCCCTGTTTATTTTTGTTCTTTCCTCCAAGCAACAGATAAGACCAATCTAAATGAAATTGAGGAAACGGGTATTACTTATAGAAGAAATAGGTGTAGTCTTGGTCACCTACCCATTTTTTCTTGGGCGTATTTCCAACTACTAGAGAAAGAGAAAAGATGGTTCAGCTTGCATGAGAAATCTACGTTTACTGTTAGTTGTCAGCTCTGCACTGCTTCTAAAGATAGTCCTTGCTGCACAGATATCTGTCCGCTTTCAATCACCAGCCCACGTAATTTGGACGTGCTACATATGTGAGATGGATAGTGCATTTATCTCCCTATTGGTCTTGCCAATGTTGAATGGGTTATAAGCTCTATTTTCATCAATTTTCCGTGTCTCCATTATGTGGCTCTTGAGAACTTTTCCCATTATCTATTAAGAACATTTCTATTGATCGAGTGTTCATGTTCTTGCACAGTTCAAAGACAAAATGAATGCAGTGGTTTACACACAGTCCAAGTCCAGCTAATGTTTCCTTTCATTTGAAAAAATTACATTTTGTATGGCCATCAGTAATTTCACTTAACATTACAGGAAAATAGTTTTACGTTTTTGCTCAACCCACTGGTCTAATTTAAAAAACAACAACAAACTCTACTTGTGAGCATAAACCAAAAGTATTGCCAGTCCAGCGTAAATGATGAAACCAGGGTTTAAGCAGCTGAGATGCAGACTGATGGCCTGTGCAGTCCTAGTCCAGAACGGAGCCGAACTAAGCAGGTCAGGTTTCTGTGGTCTCATGATTTACCGTATTTCCTTCACACTGCAGTGGGTTGGGAGGTGCTGTCAGCTACTGTCAGCATTTGCTATAGGACATTAATTTCTTAAAGTTACTGACTCCCTCCTAATTACGCAGATCTTTGTGCACCCTGCATGTTGGAGCGCAAGCATCGTTTGCTAACAGCCGCCTTCTAAAGAGGCATCGTTCGGGTGCCAGGCAGTTTGGGAGTGTAATACAAAAGATTGTCAGACAGTGTGCATCTGCTTTCATTTTTTAAATGAAAACATTTATTGGGTGTTAAGGAAGATGTAAAACAAAGATAGTGGTTATCGGCTACAACAGTCACCAAGCAAATTCCTTTCCTTGCTAAAGGAAATAAAGTAATCTAATGACAGTAAATCTTGTGCTTTAGCATTAAATGTTAGGATAGCAGTATGGTTTCCAGCCTGTCTTGCCAGACGTTTAATAAGTTGATTATTTCAATCCTGTGACAATTTCACACGTGGGACTATATTCACATAATATATAACAACTAAGTGTTCACTAAAATGTGAAACCTTAGCGATCAACACCGCTGTTAGCTAAGACATTGAGGAAAATCCCCAGTTGGCACTAAATTAACACCATTAAAGTCACAAGCACAGAATCTGAGTCATTATATTTTAAAACATAATTTTCCAAGCTATCTAGAGCATTTTCTATATGTTGAGAAAGACTGATGGGCTGAGCAAAATCAATTCAATTTTCCTTTGAGGAAAGAACATCTTGAGAAATTATCATCACTTAACATATAGTATAAGAAGGTACACGAAACAAACATCATTATATCACTTCATTTTTTTTTCCTCTCTGATTTCCCTCACATTCACATCTCAGTAAGATGACAGAACTGCAGGATAGGCAGAAACCTTCCAGCCCAGTGAGGTCTCATTAAAAACACAGAGCAAGGATTAAGATGTAAATCCTGTAACCTGCAGTGTGTCAAGCATTTTTCTCTGTCTAAAGGGCAAATCTGTCACTCAAACTGGATTTGGCTTGGTCCTAAAGACTTTTTTTTATTGCAATTTCCACATATGCATATTAATTTATATAATATGCAGCTAAACTTCATTTTCATGACCTCACCTAATTTTAATACTAAGAAGATATTGTCAGCTAAGCCAGTCCAAATTTATTTTGTCTCTACTTGCCTGTTTGTAGAGGGGGGGGGGTTAATGTCTTCCACATCCTTAATATAAAAAAAAAAAAAAAACCAAACCTCTGTTTAGGTGATTAGGGTCTGCCTTCCCTATTTTTAATAAACATGTATTCAAACAAAATTGCTAATGACTCATACTGCCTTCACTGGTAATTGGGCACAGTAAAGAATGAGAACTTCTGTCTCCTGTAGGTACAGACCTTACCAGCACACAGCAAAGTGCTGTGGCAGGAGAAGAGCAGACAAGGTTCTTCCATCACCCTTCTTGCACTCTCCCGGGTGGGTGAACCCCTGGTTGTTTGTCTGTCCGTGAGGATAGCTGCAAACACTGCTGCTCGGGCAGCCCTCCAGCTCCCCAGCTCCTGGATGGTGCAGGGTAGAGGAGTTGCACATCCCTGGCATCCAATGCCAGAAACCTTTCTGGAACTTGTGCAGCCTTCACACGAGGCGGAAATTTGTTTTATTCTGAAGGGTTTGCAGGATGGGGAAAGGCTATTGAATTTTAACAGCTGGAAATCCTACCCAGCACCAGGTGCAAACACAGCTTTTCACACTCTGCCTGGTGCTGTCCCCAGCTCCCCTTGGCAGCCCTCCTTCCCTGGGGCTCACCGGTACCTGTCCCGTCCCCGTCCCCGTTGCATGCCGACCCCGGGTCTTTGCTGCCTTCACCGAGGGAGAAATGGTAGGTGCTGCTCACAACTTCAGCAGAAGGGAAATTCGTATAGAGGAATGTGGATAAAAGAAAAAAAAAAAGCATGACAAATCTTATTTTGCAGAGAAGGTTTTTCTCCTGGATATTTCATCTGACCACAGCATTTAAGTTCTGTCTGCCAGTGTGTGTCTTTTCCTCAGAGTCAGTGGGATTACTTTTTTTTATTCTGAGTACTGGGGCTTAAAAGAGCTCTAAGTGGAGGAAAGCTACTTCCATGTGAAAATACAGTTAGCATTCCCTATTGAACTCATAGGGGTGTGTTAAAGCAACAGCTGGAACTCACCGTTTTTTTTTTGGACAATTAAATAGATCATGCTAAATAATTATCGTTCTTGAAGGAAAAAACCACGGAGCCCAACTACACATGGACAAACAGGCATGTCTCAGTGCCAGGCTAAGCAAAGTGCATTGGGTTTTTTTAGGTTGGTTGTTGTTTTTTCTTTTTTGGTAATCCAAACTGTTCTTTCAAATAGAAAACCTTAATTGCCTGGAATCTCTCAAAACTCATGGGTTTCATTTTATTAATTGATTCTTTGCTTTGTCAATGAGGCTTCTCTCTGTGACATTCACAAGATACGGTTTCTTTTTTATATTGCATTTACATTCAGCAGTCTTTTGCATTAATCCATATAATTACCTTTTGTAGATTTGAAGTTGCCGTGTCTTTATTCTTCATAATTGGTGCATCTATTAAGCAGAAGTGATATTTTCCTGCTATGTCCTTGTTAATTATAACTCTATCCTTCATTTACATAATAAACTTTTTGGGGCAATTTCTGCAGTAACATTTTATGCCTAATAGGAAGCAATTTGCTTTCCTTTATTAAGTACATTAAAACTTCATGCCCCAGACATCATTGACTGTAAACATTTGATTCTGCTCAAATTTAATGCACCAAGGCATTTTGCTCTGCCATATTAGGTTTATTTATGTGTTATGTTCTGGATTGTTAGCTGCTAATGAGACTTCGGCTCTTATTGCTCTAAGGCCTGAACACTAACCTCATTTTAATGAGTTCATTATTTGCTGCCTTCTGAATGGAAGACAACAAATTTTCCTTTTAATTAAAGGTCAAAACACCTCTGGCTAAAGAAAGTGAAGAGGTTATCAAATCCTTAGAGAAGGTAAAAGAATGACTTTTCTGATTTTGATGCCAAGCATGGGCAGGCCAGGCTGAGGTAGAAGGTGTTTCTCTGGGGACCAAAACTCCAAATCTAAGCTAAGTGACAACAGTGCTAAAATGTGGTACTAGTCTTCCCAAGACATTGTAAAAAAAGAAAACCACCCCAAAAGTCAGCCAAAGTAATTAAAGAGGCTTTACTCCTAACCCAAAGGTCTGTGTGGATGAATACTACTGCTAAAGCATGAGCCCTTCTTTGCATGTGCAATGATTTATAGGGTGCAGAGGACAGATGCCAGATTAATTGAGCCAACAAAAACTAATCTCATGTTTCTTATCAGGGGAAGTGAGGCAAATGCGATCAATATTGGGGGCTGTTCGTTGTGAGACAGAGGTATGTGCAACCATGTGTTTGTGTATGTGCACGTAAAGGGGATTGGTGATGACTTTCTTTGAAAATACGGAGTGGAAACTTTAGTCAAACCGAAAAAGGATTCATTAAAGCAATCAGTACACAGATCCTTGTCCTTTGCCTAGTATTTTATACCCGGTCACCATCTTAAAGGCAGGCTAACAAATGTCGGTTCGTGTACCTCTCATTTGAGAAGCTGCTCACATCACAGGTAATAGTGTTAGAGGCAGGAAGAGTA